GATACGGGTACGAAATTAACGGATTACGAGTAAGAACTATTTTTCTTAACTTCAGTGTTACTGTTATTGACTTATTTATAAACAGCTATCTCATTTGGCTATGGTCTTATTATCAATTCCAGCTAGTTCAGCAAATAGTGAACGAATCTTTACCGAGGCTGCACGAACGTTAGAGTCTCGAAGACAGTTATTAAGTCCTGATTCACTAGATGCACTTATATTTCTTCGTCACTGTTTGTGATAGTCATAAAAAGTATTGTTATTTCATTCTCATTTAAGCAAACTAAATAAAAATAGAGAATTTATATTTTAAATTGCGTTTACAGCTATGGTGTAAATGGGAGCGACTGTGAATATTGAAGTTACGGTTACGAGTAAGAGAAGATATGAGTAGGGTACAGGTACCAAATAAACGGGTACGGGTAGGGTACGGGTAAATTATTCTTGTTCGGGTAGGGTACGGGTATGAAAAGTTGTACCCGTACAGTACTCTATTACTGACTCATCACTGACTTAAATCATATCGAATAGATTCTAGTTTTCCTTTATCATAACAACCTCGTGAAAGGTAATACAAAGTCTGCCATTTCCGGCAGAATTTCTACGAAAAAAATGTGTTCTAGACAATGTTGAACTCCGATATAATTTATTTTTGATTAGACGCAAAATATGAACTTACTCATCAGTTATTTAAAACGAAATTCTAATCTGTGATCATATTATAAACATACAGTTAATATGATTATATGATTTGCGAAAGTATTTCAATGAGTAATTAAAGTAATATTTAACATTTTAGAGACATTGAATTTTGAGACAATACAGTCATTATTCTACTAAAGGAAGTATAACATCTCATATATTAACTGTTTAATTAAGAGGCAAATAAACATTGATAAAAAAAATACTAATTAAAAGCAGGAGCGAGGGAATGGTATCCGCTGATTGGAGAATTATGACTCAGATTTCCTCTTAATGTAGACAGATTTCTGAAACAGTAGGTCCGATTTTCGGATACTCCTGCTTTAACCTCTTGGTACCACCATTAATTAAAAGGCAGAATCATAAATGGATAATAAAATAAATGGCCAAAAATGCAACGAAAAAAATTTGATTAGTTGTGAGTGCTTTGAATTTTAATATTGTTGTTGTAAATCATCAGTAACCAATCATAAAATTTCTCAATTTCTTTCGGTTCTATTTTCAATCTTTTATTATTGGTCATGATATTTTTTCTGTTGCCTGATTGGAAATTTTCAAAAGAGAATACATTTTAATTGGATACACTCGCGGACTCTACTACTTCCTAGCTTTTGTTAATTATATACACCTTGCGAGCAAAATGATTGACCTGTACGTCTAGTCATGTGACACATTTTATTGACGTTTATGATTTGAAGTCAATGTAGCGCATAATGTTTATATTTGTCGAAAAAGGAAGTTGTAAAAATTCCAAGTTTTTTTCTTTCTAATTATCTGATATTTCCTAAAATTATCCAATTACTGAACCTTTTCAACTTTATTAGAATCAGTCTATATCAGAATTACTGGAATTTTAAAAATATCTAAAACCTTTGTTTTGCACTGCTGTCCGATTTTGAAACTTATGACAATTTTGGAATTTTAGGAAGTTTCGTTTTTTTTTCAGAAACAGGAATATTCCTCGATGCTGTTGATATTGAAGGATATGGTTCAATGTGGTTTTGTTCAATCCACAAAGCACACATAGAAATTTGGTGGAGTATTTTTCTTGCACGGAAAAAAATGGTTCACAATATTGGAAGAATAAAGACCAATACGATTAGTTGTTGATAGTGTACCAATATTGCACATAAAAAGTCTGTTTATTCGAGAAATTTCCAAAAATTATTCAAATGTAAATCTTTCTAAATTATTTATTAAAAAAATACCTCTTTTTTGATTAATTTTAGACTCTTATTGGACTATTTGTACGAAAATCAATGGTCGAAAAGAAGATTCAACACTAAAATCAAATTCAGTAGGAGAAATAAAATTGAATGGCACATTTTTTGACAAAAAATATTTTTGAACAAGATTATTTCTTCACTTTTCTCAAAATTTTCTCTGATAGACTTTCAGAGATATTTGTTTCAACTAGAAATATTTTTTGTCACAAGATATGTTATGTAGTTAAGATTTTGATGCTGAATCTTCTTTTTAATGATTAGTTTTTGTGCAAATATAATCAAACAAGAGTGTAAGATTAATAAAAGAAGAGTTTATTTTAACAAACATATGTAGAAAATTCCATACTTCGATGTTTCTGAACATCAATAGTTTCTCTAAATAAATTGTTGACTTAGTTTTTGCGAAAATTTTATACAACAATTAATTTTTTTACAGAGAAAAAAAAATCGATTAAATTAAAGAGAATTAGTTGTACCAATGTTATTTCCATCACATTCTGAGGTATTTTCAGACGTCTCACAAAGTAAAGTTTTGTTTCTGTCGAAATTTTCGACTACACACAGTAACGTAAACAAAATAGCCGATGATTTAAAAACACACACTATCGAATTTACTACGAAATTATGGAAATTTCTATGCATCCTATTTCTGAATATATTTAACTACAGCATATGAAAGGAAAGATCATACTGTCGTAAATACAGGAAATTGAAGAAATTGCCAAAATTATTAGAAAATTTTTGTAACTTCGTTAGCTTGTTATGATTCTGAGATAGGATCTTATTCTTAGCATGTTTTATTGTTACATTTACTTGGAATACTAATAGAAATTTGGAAGAGTGGCATACTGCTTTTGACTGAATCTACCAAACAGATGTGAACTCTAAATTTTACTTTCAAAGAAACTATGCCGCAGAAATTAATAATTACACTGATCTAAACCTTCACTGAAATCCCAGTTTTTACTAGCACAATGTTATTAGCTCAATGTTCACTTGTATTTTCAACAAGAATCATTGATACATATCAATGACCCATTTTCGACCATCGCACATGCTACATTTCGTAATTATAAGAACAGGGCAGGTGTTGAGTGTACATAATTAGATAGGGAAAAGTATCTATTGGTTTCTTTTATATTCAAAGCCAACAAAAATATCGGAAGTTTCTTTCGATACATCCAATCAATGCAGGCAAACTGATAGATACCAACATGAGCAATACATTCAATTTTTATTTCCAAAAAAAATAAAAAGGTGACGAATATTAGTAATAATAATGTAAACTTAGTCAAACCATGCATAATTGTGACATATTAAGACTGCTTCCACTCCGAAATTGATTTTCGCTATAGAACGTAGAAATTTCACGAAAGCTTCTAAGAATCTTCGACGGCTCTAAACCTTACCGTGCAAAAGATTTCGAACAACCAAGGGGTAAAATAGAGCTTTCATGGGAACAAAAAATTTTTCAATACGCTTCAAACTACACTGACCGAGGTAGTCTTTTTTGAAAGAGAACTCCTTGCCGCTTCGGATGCGGGAAAGGATTTTTTTAATTTTAATTTTATTTCATTTTAGCAACTCTCGAAATCTTGAAGTTCTAAAATCCGTAGACAAGGTTTTCTAGAAAGCCCTTGATTTTTTTTCAATACCAAGAGTCGAAAGAGAATTCCACTTTTCTCATCTGAAAAAGGATCCATCAATCTATCGAATAAAAAAAATAACGCAGTTCGATGGCATGAACTATACTGAAAACAAATTTGTTTGGAATTTCTCATTTTAGCCAAAAATCAGTTTTGAGAACAACGCACAAATAGTTTTTTCTGTGAATATTTTATTGAATCCTCTTCATATCTTAGAAAATAATGTAATTATACTGTATATCAATTAAAAGTCTATTAGACATCTCATCGAGTAAACGCAAAACAGTATGCTGTGTCATCATTTGTCACTACAGATGATAAAAACAAATAGACCTATAAGTTCTCTATAGTCCTAGGTACCGTATTAAATAATCTTCATCAGTAATGATTGATTTGCATTCAAAACTTTAACTGAATCCATCGATCCCGAACGCAACATCTGATCAGATACAAGTGAATGAATTCATATCAAATTTCTAGCTATCCGTTAATTTGAACGTTCAAAATTCTTACCGTATTTTACTACTATCATCCGAATTCTAGATAAACTACTTATTGCACCAATTGACTACGAGATATTATTTTTGTTTATTCATTTGTTTCAGAGGTAATACATTTATTAGTTTCTATTAATATTTCTAAATTTTTTTCTATTTATATTTTGACTAGCTAAAAAAAAGCAAAAAACTAATCACACGGATTGAAGTGCATTGATTCTATATCTAATTAATATCTATTGTTTATTTCATATCACTACAATTGAAATATGGTAGGCTTGGACGCAAAGAATAAAGATGCTCTCGATCATAAATATATCTGTTCGTTATGTAAATTAATACTACAAGATCCAGTGCAATTTTCCGAATGTGGCCATCGATTTTGTCAAACATGCTTAAATGTTGGACAACAGTAAGTTTCATTATCGATTTAAAATATTTTTGTTCAATGTTCTTTTTCAAGGACGACAATCGAATGCCAGCAATGTCAAGCAAAAACATCAGCGAGTAACGTAAGGTATATTTTCATACTTGATAACAAAAACCCACTTCTTTTGTATAGATATTACTTGATCGAGGCTTCAAACAAGACATGAAATCACTGTCCATTGATTGCTCTTTTTGTCAGTGGGTTGGTGTCTTAAGTGACTATCAAGTAATTTATAATGCATTGATTTTTGTTACCGAAACTTATTTTTCTTTTTCTTTTACAGAAACACCTCAATCAGTCCCATACCGATCTCAGGTGCGAAGGTTGTGGCGAACAATTCAATTCAGTTAACAGATTCAATGAACATAAAGTCTTCAAATGTCAGCAACCGATTGTGGACTGTATACTGAAAGACTTTGGTTGTAATGAACGGGTATGAAAAGTCTCTAGATGAAATTAATGTAAAATAATTTATATTCTTTAGATTATTCGTGATAAAATGCAAGATCATTATTTAACTCAACAACATCAACATGCGGTACTTAATGTTGTTCGACGAATGAAAACACAATTTGACGATAGGCAGATGGATATTGATCTTCCTCGAACGACGACTGACGAAGCGTGCAATCCTGCTAAATCTCAGATAGAAGAGCTTTATGACATGCTCAATATCTTAGTAGGTGGTGTTGAAACATTGACTAATGATGAACAACGTCTAACCAATGAATCACTTGAAATACAAACAATACTTCCAACATTAACAGACGAATTATCGAAAGTTAAACTATCTGTAGAAGAATCAAATGGTTTTTTGGAAGCAGTCAAACATAATCACGCAATTCTTAACCAAGATCTGTTATCCTTACAGGAGCAAGTCAATGATTTGCAATGTGTTTCGTATGATGGCGCATTTGTTTGGAAGATAACAAGTTTTCTAGAGAAAATGAGTAAGATGATCCATTTTATGTGCAATGATAAAAATACAAAGACCATATCGAGAAGATAGATAAAGAGTAACGCGTTATTCAATAATAACAATGAATATAATATACAGTGAAACCTCTCCAATCTGAACACAACCGGGAACCGTCAAGAGTACCTACTTTAGAGACGTGCTCATCAGAGCTGTGCACAGCTCGCATGCGTGCGGATGCGGAGGGGCGCCTGATCTTAATTTGACTGTCTTGTGAGGGTATCTTCTAAAGTTGAAATCAATGAATCTAAGATTCCATTATTAGCGTATGGGTATGGATGTTGTTCTCGATTAACGTGATACTATATTTATACCTTCGTGATACAAGTTTATCGTCATCTCTGTTGGATGACATACTAGTCGTTTGATCGGAATTGCGTAACGGAACTGAAAAGTATGATGAGTGATATACTTACTTAATGATTAATATTTAAGATATAAAAAAATACTTCTTCAATTTTTGATCCAGAGAATTTTGCTTTTTTTCTCTCTTTGATGAATGTTTAGTTAATCATACGTGTTAATAGTAGGATGTTCTTATTTCTTTTTTTAAAATTTTTGTATGTATAACTTCCGCTCTATAATTTTCTGGCGCTAAAGCTACTATTTATAATTAAGAATAAATATAAAAGTCAAGAAGGAAAATTTATCTAATTATTTCTCCAAAATGCAGCATATGTTAATTATTTTCCTTTCTTTATCATATCCATGTTTTGTCCATTCTTCTATGATAAAATTATGACAATAATTGCCATCATTATGATTAATTCGTAAAAGTTATCATCCTCTACTTCGTACTCTCAATACCTTCGAATCATCTCCTCCATCGAATTTATCTACTTTAAGACTTATTGCTTACATTCAAACGACCTGTATGCGATCAACAAATTCCACAGTATTTATTTAAAAAATTGTAATAAAACTAGAAAACAAGGAACGAGAAAACTTTAGTAATCACGAACGGCCACTCGACGGAGCGACTGCACCATTGAACTCCTTGAATGAAGGGTAGTGCGGCCGCTTCGCTCGACGAAAAGCCTAACAGAGCGGTCTGCAACGCCGTCACTTTTTGAAAGTATGATTCATACTTTCCGCCCGCCGCTTGTCGAGTTTTAGGAATGGTGTACACCTCTGGTGCTCATTATTAGGGGGTTTTCAGTTTTTTTACAGTCTATACGTATTTAAAGTTCATTACTTTTAACTTTACGACGTAGGCAACACTTCTTTCAAATAATTTATTATTTAAACATTCATATCGTTTTCTGGAATAATATTTTTTGTGTTCACAAAATAAAACTAATTTTTTCTGAGATAATAACTTCTTTTTAGAAAGACTAATCTAATCTTTTCTAAAATAGCAGCTTTTCGTACAATTCAAAACTAATCTCATCTGAAATAATAATTTCTTTTACTGCACAAAACTAAATGATATTTTATACTTCGTGATGAAATTTCGTTGAGATAAATACCTTTAGTATCTTCACTTAATTCAAATTTTTAATAAGAGGCAAATGAACACACGTTGACATGATTTTATGCTAATAGCTGTTAACACAATACAACAAGATCTTATACTGAACACTGTTGTTGTTGTCTATCTTTTTCATTTAAACATGTACAGTTAGTCCATTTCGTCCTTAAACCTGACCCATAATTATTAATCATATAAAAACACATTTTTTTTGTTTTGCGTGCGAGTGATAGAATATATATTGCTCATACTACAGAGGGTGTTATTCTTCATGAGGGCAGAAAGAATCGCCCACTGTTCAGAATAAACGGATGCTCACATTTGAGAGATTCATTCCAATGAAAATTTGCTTGTAGGATAATAGCTAGTTCAGTATAAGGAGATGCTCATTATGCAGAGGTACCCATATAGAGAGATTCAACTGTATTAATGAATTGATGATATGAGCCATTTATGTTTCTGATCAACTAAATTTTCGTACAATCTTTTCAATTCTTCAAAACATATTTGTTTTTATTCTTAGTTGATGCACAGTCTGAAAGACAAACATCATTTTATTCACCGCCGTTTTATTCATCTCCAACTGGATATAAAATGAGAGCTCGTCTTTATTTAAATGGTGATGGGAATGCTCGTCGTACACATATGTCACTTTTTTTTGTACTCATGCGAGGCTTGAATAATCCAATTCTCAAATTTCCATTCAACTATAAAGTTACATTTTGTTTATACGATCAAACTTCTCAACAACGACATATTATCGATTCATTTCGGCCAGACATTAGATCAAGCAGTTTTCAACGACCTCGATCTGATATGAATATTGCCAGCGGCATACCGAAGTTTTTTCCATTGGAAATAATTCAACAGGAAGGAAATCCCTATGTAAGAGATGATACAATGTTTATCAAAATTATGGTTGACTTTGGAGAACTACCTAAAACATTGTTACCTTATGCTTTGAGTCTTAATCCAGGTTTACCAGCATATATTCAACAAGCAATGATCAAACAAGAAGCTGAACAAAGATCTCAACAATCTTCTAGAGAGGCACCATTAATACCTCAAGGATAACATATGACAATCCATTTAACAGAGAAAATGTGCAATTTTGTATTTCAGAAGAAGAGTACTACCGAGAATTACTAAAAAGTTCATAGAAGTTCTTAGAACAAGAATGAAATTCGTCGATATACATCAATGTACGCCGAAGTTCATTCATTTTTGTCATTAAGAGAAAACCTGAAGATATAGAATTTCAATAAATTATACATAACCAACTCGCACTAACGAGTATGATCGACTCATAACATTGCCCTTTTTTTATTACTAATAAATGTGAAGAAATCTGTAAGGGCATCAGCCTGAATTGCTATATCTTATTGTAGTTTTGAGTACTTCTATTTACTTCTCTTAGTAATTATCGGTATTTTCCTTTTCTGAAATATAGAGTATGCTTACTTCTTCATTTTCATAAATATTCAACCCGTAATCAAGAATTTTCTACAAAGAACTTATGCTTTTTTTATAACTTAATAAATAAACCAGATGCTACGTTAAATTTTCTTATCTTTGTGATAAATATAGAAGAGGGTGTGGGGTGTGGAGGGTGTGGGTGTGGGTGTGGATGTGGGTGGGGTGTGGGTGTGGTGGTGGGGTGTGGGTGTTAGTAGAACTGTGGATGTTTTTGCT